CCGCTGTCTGCAAGCATAGTCCCGCCCTAGCGGGGATGCTAGTCACCGCCCACCGCCCTCCGCTCTCCGCCCTCCGCCCTCCGCACACCTTGCCGCTCTCCTTCTCTCGTCTGGCAGGTCTCCTTGTCAAGTGACATGGACAAGGGAGTGCAATTCCTTGCATATTGGACGCACAGAACATTGCTTATTTCTTTGTACAGCGGTCTTTACCAGTGTTGAGAAGGGTCTGGATATGGCTTGCCTGCCCATAATCTTCATGCCTGTTTTCCAAATGGGAATTTAAAAAACAGTGATGGAACCTAGCCAGTGTGGTTCAATGGTTGCGCATTGACCTATGTACCAGGTGGTCGAGGTCAGAGCACATGCCCAGGTTGCAGGCTGCATGCCCAGTAGGGGGCGTGCAGGAGGCAGCCCATCCATGATTCTCTCTCATCATTGATGTTTCTATCTCTCTACCTCTCCCTTCCTCTCTGAAATCAATAAAAAAAAATTTTTTTTTTTTAGAAAACCAGTGATGTAAAAGCAATAGTCCTGGGTGTCTCCTTCCAGTTTGGGTGTAAATCTACATATTTGAAGAAAGCGAATTGCTGGTTTAAGCAGGAGAAAAAGTAAAAACAATTTAAACTTTTTTTAAACCTTTAGAAATATTCAACACAAAATCCTTTTTAAAGTTGAATTACCATGCGATTGGTAATTTAGCCATAATTTGGGTAAATAACTTGAAAAGGGGGTAGGAAATCCATCACTCCTCAAGAGTCATTAAACTCTGATGCTCCCTTAAGATCAGCTTGACTTCTCTCTATAAATTACCTGGGAGGGAGTATCCGCAAATAAGAAAAATAATTCATTGAACTACAATATTTTAAAGTTACTCTCCTGAATAATTCAGGTCCCAAAGTAAAACTCTCATGCAGACAAATGGTGTAGATGCATGCCCTCTTCCTTTTTAGTGCCCTTGGTTTATCAATCTACGTTGTTTTTTATTGTGGTTGATCTGTTTCAAAGTATCACACATTATGACACTTAAAGCCAAAATACTCTAAAAAAATAAATAAGGACATTCTTCTATCTAAATAAAATGGTATTATTACTCCAATAAAATAAAAATAGCTCCTTAATTTCATCTCATACCCTTTCTATAGTTAAATTTACCCAGGTCCTCAAAATGTTCTATGAGCACAATGGGGTGGCTATTTCAAAGGAATGAAGTATTATGACCCTTCATTGCTTGTTACCTGTCTTAAACATGAGGGAACATGGAGACATCCAATCAAAACTCTGTTACCAGTAGAATGTGAAATGGCACAAAAAGTGTATTCCTTAATATACTTACCATATGGAACAGTAATCTCACTCCTAGCTATCTATCCCAAAGAAATGAAATCTTAAATTTACAAAAGACTTCTACGAGAATATTCATAACAGCTTTATTCATAACAGCCACAAACTAGAAACAGGCCAGATGTTCAATAGGAAAATAGATATACAAACTGTTTTATATTCATACTAGAGGCCCAGAGCACGAAATTCGTGCACGGGTATGGTCCCTAGGCCTGGCCTGCGATCAGGGCCATCTTCCCTGGCTTCCCATAGCCGGCCCTGCCCCCTGCTGCCACCCATCTCCAGTTCCCCGTTCA